CGAGCACTATGGTATTCTGGATGTTGTAGAGAAGAATGCTGGATGCCGAGCACTATGGTATTCTGGATGCTGGAGAGCAGAACGCCGGATGCCGAGCACTATGGTCCTGGATGCTGTAGAGCAGAACGCTGGATGCCGAGCACTATGGTATTCTGGATGCTGTAGAGCAGAACGCTGGATGCCGAGCACTATGGTATTCAGGATGCTGTAGAGCAGAACGCTGGATGCCGAGCACTATGGTATTCAGGATGCTGTAGAGCAGAACGCTGGATGCCGAGCACTATGGTATAAGCGATGCTGTAGAGCAGAACGGCGGATGCCGAGCACTATGGTATTCAGGATGCTGTAGAGCAGAACGCTGGATGCCGAGCACTATGGTATTCTGGATGCTGTAGAGCAGAACGCTGGATGCCGAGCACTATGGTATTCAGGATGCTGTAGAGCAGAACGCTGGATGCCGAGCACTATGGTATTCTGGATGCTGTAGAGCAGAACGCCGGATGCCGAGCACTATGGTATTCAGGATGCTGTAGAGCAGAACGCTGGATGCCGAGCACTATGGTATTCTGGATGCTGTAGAGCAGAACGCTGGATGCCGAGCACTATGGTATTCAGGATGCTGTAGAGGAGAACGCTGGATGCCGAGCACTATGGTATTCTGGATGCTGTAGAGCAGAACGCTGGATGCCGAGCACTATGGTATTCAGGATGCTGTAGAGAAGAACGCTGGATGCCGAGAACTATGGTATTCAGGATGCTGTAGAGCAGAACGCTGGATGCCGAGCACTATGGTATCCTTTTGAGTGGATATATGTGCGCATTACAATGCGAGCCTGACAACCCGATATTAGAAGATTCAGTTTTGCAGAGTTGCGACCCTTAGGTGGGCCATAATATATGATAATATATGATGATAATATATGATCATGGGTTCGAATCTGGTTGGCCCCGGTTTGGTTTTGTCAGCATCATTCCCGTGCTCGTGGGTTTCACCAAGTGGTAAACGTCTAAGACCTGCATCACTTCGGGCTTTCCGCCCACATCAAGCTGACTCGCCGTGATATAATGAAATACTGTTCAAAGCAGCGTTTAACTCTAACTCATTCCTCCACTTTGAAAAAAGAATTTGGAGCAAGGTTTAGGCTTCGAAAAACAACCCGACAAGGTTTCGTTTATATACTCACCGCCAAAAGAAACGCGAAGCATAGAAACACATACAGAAGTATGTACGTTAAGAAGAGATGTTTCCACTGTGAACCAAGTAATGACAAAACTAGCAATCAGTCAAGTGTTACCACAGAGTTTCTTTACTCTTATCATGATATGCTGCACGTGATTTCAACATTTTTACACGCTAATCCTGCACGTGACAAATGGTGCGTCTCGAGACATGGATCTTTGATTATGCGTTCATGAGCATCGGATCACACAACAAACCAGTACGTTCGTTTGTGCAACGAACCAATCTTATATCGAGTTATATATATACTCACCGCCAAAAGAAATGCGAATACCATATGCCCATTATTCGTGCCAAACTCCTTGTGTGTCCGATGTTATGCTTAGCAGTAATTACGTTATCATTATCATTAATAGTATTACTATCATTATTATCATCATTAGGATTAATATCATCGCCATTATTTTAAAGACCGCTTTCCTTGTAACCCATTTGTTTGTGAATAGTGTACGAGTACACTCAATGTTCCTTTAAAGGTTACAATGGCTTAGGGGGCACGGGTGGCCCAGTCGTCTGAGGCGCCACAATTCGCTGTGCAGAGTTGCGTACCTTGGACACGCCAGAAACCTATGATTGTGGGTTCGAATCCCGGTTCGCCCCGATTATGTTTCTAGGTTTGTTAGCACCATACCCGTGGTCGTGGGTTTCACCGAAGTGGTAAACGTCTGAGTCCTGCATCACTTCGGGCTTTCCTCCCACATTAAGCTGACACGCCGTGATATGACTGGAATACTGTTAAAAGCAGCGTCAAACCCAACTCACTCACTCACTCACTAACAGTCTGTTGATGTCAGTTACCTCCCTTGCCTCGGGAACATGTGAAAACCGAACGCGTCAGCATGATGTTTCGAAGCTGAACTTAGCACTATCTTATCTATTCTAAATAGAAACTTCAAATAAGCAGATGAGTCTATGTTAGCACTGATTTCCTCTCTTGCTTAATAACTTAGATCTTCTCGAGCAATTAGACTGTACTTTAACACTGTTCTCTGTTTGTGTTCATTCGTTCGTTTTTTCGTCATCTTTGTCAGCAATGCTACTGCCCGTGAAGATGACATGCATATAATCAAGTCTGTACCCGAAGAAGCAGTGATTGTTTGTTTGTTTGTTATTTAACGCCGCACTCAGCAATATTTTAACTATATGACGGCGGTCTGTAAATAGTGGGTCTTGACCTGACAAGCCAGTGATTGACATTATGAGCATCAATCCACGCAATTGGAATATGATGACATGCATCAACCAAGTCAGCGTGCCCGACCACCCGATCCCGTTGGTCGCCTTTTACGAAAAGCATTGCTTGCTGAAGACCAATTCTAACTCGTATCGTCACGTGTAGGAGGGATCGATATCATGAGCACCGTCCTACGCTTTCTTGGCACGATGACAATTAAATAGCTTATCAACCGAGTCACTGAGCCTGACCATTCGATCCAATTAAGATGCTTCTTACGGCAGCATGGGGCGTTTTTCACCAAGAGTCCCCACGGGGGCACGGTAAGGTATATGGTCTCTGGTTCTTCTGACCGCCTCCGTGGTCTAATGGTAGAGCGTCCGCCCAGAGAGCGGAAGGTCCGGGGTTCGACCCCCGGTCGCGTCATACCAAAAGACGTTAAAAGATGGTCCTTGTTGTTGCCCTGTCTGGCGCTCGGCATTAAGGGGCTAAAACAAGGACTGGTCGGCTCGGAGTCAGTATACTGTGTATGAGTGGGGTATTCATGTTAAACTGCGGCATGGTATCTCAGTGTGATAGCACTATAAATCGGCATCAGTCCGGACTAGTACAAGCAGCCACACACACACATACACGTGCATGCACGTCGCTATATAAGTGCAATAATCTTGGACGCGACGTTAAACCCAATTTCACCTCACCTCACCTCTGGTTCTTCTATCTCCTTATTTGCACTTACGCAATGCTTACGCGAACGATGCAGATTTTTATATTTAGTCACTCTCTATGAATATAAAGCAATGTGGATATCGACTTACAAGTCGCATGTGAAACGTGGATGTCGCAAATCACAACACGAGTTCTCTCTTTCCACCAATAAAGAGCTCGCGGTACTTGAATGTTTAATCATATCGCATTGAAGCTACGCTAATAGTAAGTGAGTGATTGGGTTTAACGCCGCTTGTAACAGTATTTCAGTTATATCTCGGCGTGTCAGTTTAATGTAGGAGGAAAGCCCGAAGTGATGCAGGTCTCAGACGTTTACCGCTTCGGTGAAACCCACGAGCACGGGTATGGTGCTGGCAAACCTAGAAACATAATCGGGGCGAACCGGGATTCGAACCCACAATCATAGGTTTTCTGCACAGCGACACTGACACTTACGCGTAATTGGATTTAGACTGATATAATCATACATTATATACATCATATATATATATATATATATATATATATATATATATACTGAGTCAAATTAAAAACTTCACATTTATCAAAGTAATCCCATGTATGATATACAACGGTAACATGTATCAGAGAAGGCAATTTTTAATCATTAATGTCCAAAGAAGGTGGTATTCCAAAGGTCGGTGGTAACCATAATTTGTTCCAAGCACCTACGGTATTCGGTAATAACATCAACAGTTTAAATCAAGTCCCAAGCACGAGAATTTGATGGCACACAAGTTCAGTAGCGTGTATGGCCACCATGTGCGTTGACAACTGCCACAAAACGCCTCCGCATAGACCTTGTGATGCTTGTGAACACATGATTGGGAAGACGACGCCCTTGTTGCTGCAAAATGGTGCCAAGATCTTGCAAATTCTGTGGTTGGTTCTGGAGAGTGTGCAGACTTCTGCCAAGAGCATCCCAGACGTGTTCGATGGGATTGAGGTCGGGAGACCTTGACGGCCAGTCCATGACGTTGACTCCCACATTATGAAGGAAATTCCTTGTCAAAATTGCTGTGTGGGGTCTGGCATTGTCGTGTTGGAAGATCAAACCGGGTCCATGTGCTGCCATAAAAGGCAGAAGTTCTGGTGTCATTACCTGGTCGCGGTAAGCAGCAGCGTTGAGGATGCCACGGATGACAAGAAGACTGGAACGTGCATTGCCACAGAAAACACCCCACACCATGACACTTCCGCCTCGAAATCTGTCAACTTCCTGTACACAACACTGGGCGTAACGTTCATGACGGCGCCTCCACACCCTCGCCCTACCATCAGCAAATCGAAGATTAAATCGGGATTCATCACTGAAGACGACTTGATTCCAATTCCTCTGGGTCCATCGTAAGTGTCGCTGTGCCCACAACTGACGTTGACGCCTGTGTAATTGAGTCAGAATCGGCCCGCAGTTTGGCCGTCGTGCTTGAAGGTGAGCAGTTCTCAGACGGTTTCGAACAGTCTATCCCTAAACAGTTCATTTCTGGTTGATGTAGCCGTCAAAAATCGGTTACGGAGGTGACGTAAGACAATCTGACGATCCTCTGCATGTGACGTCACACGTTGTCGACCTTGACGAGGGCGATCAGCGCTGGAACCCGTTTGCTGTAGACGCGTTTGTAAATCATAAACAGTCCGTCCACTACACCCCATCGTCCTTGCGACTTCAGCTACGGACGTTCCCGTCTGCCATATGCCAATGGCACGTTCACGTTGCACATTTGAAAGGCGTGGCATGACAAATGGCCGTAAAGACTTTTGTTTTCTTGTGTTTTTCTTTTTTTGTTAATGACTGCTAACAAGTATGGCTGAAAACACGTGCGGTATTATGGCCACGTGACCAGTTGCACGTGAAAAACCACTTTTGCCACTATATCTGAAGACAATACGTGGCCATTACTGTTTAAATACACAATAAGGGCCAACAATGATAACTGGTCAAAATGTTTAAATTTTAGAATTGTGAAGTTTTTAATTTGGTTAACTGATATATATATCGTTGTCATATATTGCAGTTTGCTGATGAAGGATAGAATTTGATACCTACGTAAATTCGATTGATTTTTAATATGAGATATAATGTATAATCCTGAAACATTATCTTCTGGATTGTAAATTCATAGAGAACTCCCGAATGGAGAAGTTATTTATTGTTCCTGAATATTCTAAACAGTGACGTATTAGCATAGCTATCATGCAGAATGTTTTTATCAATCTAAATCCAATTACGCGTAAGATACAATTGACAAAAACATACTGTGATGTATAGTTATGTATTAGCGTAGCTTTCATGCGGTACCATTAAATCAGTCATAACAACTAAAATATTATATATACTTGTCTTGTTGGAATTTAATGATACTATATTCATTAAAATCAATCACAGTTTGGTATAAATACAGTCGAACCTCGTTGAGTCGAACTTGGATATGTCGAGCTCCTGGTTGTCTCGAACTTATTTGAGAGTCCCAAGTATCCACATTAAAGAGACATTTCTCCTGATGTCTCGAACCCCGGATAACTTGAACTTTTTTTCAGGTGTCCACGAGTTCGACACCAGAGGTTCGACTGTATATAAAAATAATAATTAAACACAGGGTCTAGTAGTAAATTCTAGTATGTATACATATACTTAAAATTTGGTCATATAATATAGGCAACTCAAATTAGTATTATCAGGCAGGAAATACGTTCTGCATCTAAAGCTGTCAGCCATCTATGATTCAAAAAGGTTCTCATAAAGCCCTGAAACAAAATAACAAAATAAGAAGGGATCAGCTGTACACATCAATAATGTTGAAGAAGTAAGAATACTTCATAAAATACACGGGTACCATTTGGAATCAGATCAAATAATTCCCCAATGTGGTATGACTGTAGCTACATATGTACTGAACAACGTAATGCAGCCTTATCACATATCAGAGTCGACGAAGCACGCAAAAGCAGGTCTACAGTTGTCTTTTTATGACTTTGTAGGCCGACATCTCTATGGACCACACGACTATAGTTTGGCCGTTGTCTTGAACCTGGCCATCATGAAGGGCTTCATGTCATATTTCGGAACCCGGCCTGTCGCCATGTCGCTGACTGCCTCTCCCACGACTGGTGCCAGTTTGAATCCGTGGCCTGTAACGAAACACATCATATTTAAATCATCATACAACTATCTCAATCTCTGCTTTAAAACACAGCACGGGTACAAGTGGTCAAGTCATCTAAGGCAGAGTTACGACCCTTCGGCGTGCCAGGAGCCTATGATATCGGGTTCGTATCCCGGTTCGCGCTGATTTGTTTCTAGGTTTGTGAGCACCATACCAGTACTCATGGTACTGCCTCATTCCAGACTCTCCTTCCACATTAATCTGACCCAGCGTGTTTAACTGGAATAGTGAGTGAGTGAGTGAGTGAGTATGGTTTTACGCCGCTTTTAGCAATATTCCAGCAACAACACGGCGGGGGACACCAGAAATGGGCTTCACACATTGTACCCATGTCGGGAATCGAACCCGGGTCTTCAGCGTGACGAGCGAACGCTTTAACCACTAGGCTACCCGACCGCCCCTTTAACTGGAATAATGTTTACAGCGGCGTAAAACCATACTTAACCAACCAACCAACCAAGAAACCAACCAACCAACCAATTAATCATTCATATCAACAATAAATATGAAAGTAGCCAATCCTGTTTAATGCTGGACATTTTAAACATATGTTGACTAATACAAAGAATATGATAATCTTTTACAATTATTGTTTCACAAAAAAAAGAGGTAAACCAGTTTCGGTTTCAAAGAGACTTTGCTTTGCTTCAGTATAACATAGGAGAAATAACTTGATGACTAAATGGAGGGAAAGTAGTGTCGTCAATGTCAGTCAGTGTTCACCTGCTAAAGAAGTTATGGTGAATGTTTGAAAGTGATGCGTTTTAACAGGACTGATGCACTCACACTAAGAGTTGTCAGTTCCACGTGCACAATACAGTCGCACAAGTTAGGGTCTATTATGGATATTTGGGTATGTTGGATTCTGATTAATCGTTTGAATTAATTTTATATTTAAGCGGTCTTCATTTAAGTTGTAAAGGGAAGTAACTTATTTGTTGTTGTTGGTATCGCTATGTGCAAGAGACTGTGCTGTGAGCGGGGGACCGAAGAGGTTATAAAACGGTAAATATGCAATTAAATACAAAACTTCAGTAACCGAGAAGTTAGACAATATTAAGTGACCGTTTATTTTCATATTTGTGTCTAAATATTAGTATATTCATCGACGTTTCCGCATTGTTTTGCAGTCAATCAAGCCGACAGCGCTACCTTAGTATTTCGTGGCAACGGCACCCTTCAACTGGAACTAGAATCTGTTAGAATATGAAACTAAGATTAGAAAAAATGATGAAGTTGAAGAATGATTTGACGTCCTCAATTCTCGAAACCGACAGGGAATTTGAAATCTCGAAGTTGGCCAGGGTGCCCTCAATGGAGCCATTGATGACTCTTTTCTTCATATAAAGCAGCGTTAGAAATTGGTACTTGTAGAATAGTCCTTGCCAAACTGCCCAACAGGTAAGGTATCATAAGTATTGGTATACATTTGCCTTTGTAAGGGTTTTGTTATATGTTATCATTATAAGAACCAGTGGACTAAACTGTTAGTTTCTACCGATGCAATGGATAGTGTTATCGACGCGATAAACCAATCCGATAAATATGCAAATGAGGTCACCGACCAGGAACTACTTTAAGCCCCATACACCGACACAATGTCTGCTTAATCGATAAATTATTGACCAACGTTCCAAATACGTCCAGGTTGGGGTTTCTAGTTAAACTGTGTTTCTGCGGACAACCACGGCTGCAGATCATGTGGCACTATATGGAAAATGGGAAAACTCAAACATTGTATTCATACGCGCTTTCTAAAGTTACTTCTTTGATTGTAAATACATCTTAAACATCGATTATTTTCAGAATGACATATGATCAAGAGATGATTAATCTAATTTGTTTCCGTATGGGAAATTTCTTATCACCAATGGCCCGCATTTGAGAGTGTTTATTTCTAACACACATATATAATACGGAAACACACTCGGTTAATAATATCTTTATAATCATTCGTCACCACTCGCCCCTTTCCGTAACCTGCAAGAAGACTCGTCCCCCTATCGATGAATGTTATGTGCGAAAATACGACAAACCAATCAGAATGCGCGTATGATTTCAAGTTCTTCGTCAAAGAATCCCTCAGAAATAATTTCTGCTTTTACATATGTCTTGCATCTAAAATTATACCCAAGACACAGTTAAATGTGTTCAATCATACTGTAAAATTTTGGATGTCCTGATGTGCTTTTAATTACAACTGAAATATAAATGATATGTGGGGAAATATATGTGAACCATTGCGCAACGAGTTGACAATTGTTTTATGTATGCCCGTTTGCGCTAAGACGGAACCCGGTTGCAAAAATGGCCACGAGAGGGGCACGAGTCGCTATTCGGCTTGTCCCGGAATAACACGAGTTGGTCACGAATGCTTTATAATGAGAACCATTCCCATGACTACCTGAGAACCCAGCTGCGACGATGATGTTGTGGTGCTGCGGGTGGTAGTCGATGATGAAGTCTTCATCAGGTGTCATCTGCCAGAGAAATGGTAGACATGACGCTCAAGAAGAACTCCGATGGAGTTATGGAATCAATCTAGACTTTCATTAGACATGTTACAGTGAGATTGATCGACTGGATTTAATCCTATGAATCAGTATGTCCAGTACCCCGTTCCACAAAGCGAGGTCAGGACTGAGGTCAATAAGTTTAAAGTCTGTCTGTCCCCAGCAATCCATGCTGGTCTTAAAGAGGCGGCCAAACGGATCAGGCGGTCACGTGGTGACTTGGTTAATTGTGTATCATCGTACGCCGACGGCGTAGGTAGTTGTTAACACTATCGATCACCGGTGCCCTGTGTCCAATGGGATGTTCCCAAGCAAATGGAGGCTCGCTTGGGTGAGTGAGCGGTATCACACGGGGAACACAAGAATGGGACCCCCTTGGGTTTTCGGGTTAGAATAGGTCCCCATGTTATTATACTGGTTGTATGAGGTGACCAAATGGATAGGGGCTGTTAGGCTCGGTGACTTGATTGCGTGTCAGCGTACCCCGGCGTGGATCTTAGGACTAAGGTTAAAAATTCGATCACTGGATTGTCTGGTCCAGGCTCTGTTCAAACAAAGTATTTCAGACAAAGAAATATTAGAAATCATCGTCCGGACAGGACATATTGTAACCAGGATATTACTGTGGTTTTCTTACCGTGTAAATACACTGTTCTGTGATAGATGGTGTCGACTCCAAGCCAGGGAAATGTTCCTTCACATACGCCGTCACTCGATCTGTCACCCACTTCCCGTCTGGCTGGTCTCGTGTATCAGGCGAGATCTCGGGGCCCGTGTGCAGAGCAATCTGGACCGCGCAGTGAAGGTATTATTTGGATACCTAGTTATTGTTGCATAAATATTATCTTAATATTGAATATGCGTGCGATTTACTAAGGAGCCGACCATTTAATATTGTGAGTTGGGGCGAGGGGTCTAGGAAAAATAAATTAGTGAGTGAGTGAGTGAGTGGTTTGGAGGGTGAGTGAGTGAGTGAGTGAGTCGCTCACAAGGCAATAGAATATTAAAAGGTCGATATCTAAGCAGTTATGTATCATACTACCTGTCTGAATCCGAAGGAAACATGTCAGAAATAGGTTCTTGGCATTTAAATATACATTTATATGTGATAAATGAACTTGTTAAATTGAAGAAGGGTAGTCTACCTTGGCGTAACCAGGATACTCGTAGCTAGGCAGCCCCCAAATGTCATAAGGCGGACTGCCACTGTGTTCAATGAAGCAGGGAAGCTGTTGGGCGGAGTGGCTACCCGGATGTAGTTCCTTGCAGTAACACACGGTCACTCTCTGTATCTGAAACATCACAGGTCAGGTCCATGTGTACCTCCATGCTGTTCTGATTAATACCCTAGGCCTAATCCACATCACAGGTCAGGTCCATGTGTACCTCCATGCTGTTCTGATTAATACCCTAGGCCTAATCCACATCACAGGTCAGGTCCATGTGTACCTCCATGCTGTTCTGATTAATACCCTAGGCCTAATCCACATCACAGGTCAGGTCCATGTGTACCTCCATGCTGTTCTGATTAATACCCTAGGCCTAATCCACATCACAGGTCAGGTCCATGTGTACCTCCATGCTGTTCTGATTAATACCCTAGGCCTAATCCACATCACAGGTCAGGTCCATGTGTACCTCCATGCTGTTCTGATTAATACCCTAGGCCTAATCCACATCACAGGTCAGGTCCATGTGTACCTCCATGCTGTTCTGATTAATACCCTAGGCCTAATCCACATCACAGGTCAGGTCCATGTGTACCTCCATGCTGTTCTGATTAATACCCTAGGCCTAATCCACATCACAGGTCAGGTCCATGTGTACCTCCATGCTGTTCTGATTAATACCCTAGGCCTAATCCACATCACAGGTCAGGTCCATGTGTACCTCCATGCTGTTCTGATTAATACCCTAGGCCTAATCCACATCACAGGTCAGGTCCATGTGTACCTCCATGCTGTTCTGATTAATACCCTAGGCCTAATCCACATCACAGGTCAGGTCCATGTGTACCTCCATGCTGTTCTGATTAATACCCTAGGCCTAATCCACATCACAGGTCAGGTCCATGTGTACCTCCATGCTGTTCTGATTAATACCCTAGGCCTAATCCACATCACAGGTCGGGTCCATGTGTACCTCCATGCTGTTCTGATTAATACCCTAGGCCTAATCCACATCACAGGTCAGGTCCATGTGTACCTCCATGCTGTTCTGATTAATACCCTAGGCCTAATCCACAGCACAGGTCAGGTCCATGTGTACCTCCATACAGTTCTGATTATTACCCTAGGCCTAATCCACATCCCAGGTCAGGTCCATGTGTACCTCCATGCTGTTCTGATTAATACCCTAGGCCTAATCCACATCACAGGTCAGGTCCATGTGTACATCCATGCTGTTCTGATTAATACCCTAGGCCTAATCCACATCCCAGGTCAGGTCCATGTGTACCTCCATGCTGTGCTGATTAATACCCTAGGCCTAATCCACATCACAGGTCAGGTCCATGTGTACCTCCATGCTGTTCTGATTAATACCCTAGGCCTAATCCACATCACAGGTCAGGTCCATGTGTACCTCCATGCTGTTCTGATTAATACCCTAGGCCTAATCCACATCACAGGTCAGGTCCATGTGTACCTCCATACAGTTCTGATTATTACCCTAGGCCTAATCCACATCACAGGTCGGGTCCATGTGTACCTCCATACAGTTCTGATTATTACCCTAGGCCTAATCCACATCACAGGTCGGGTCCATGTGTACCTCCATACAGTTCTGATTATTACCACAGGCCTAATCCACATCACAGCTTTGATTTGAGACGAGTTCGAATGACACGCCGCTAAAAGTAGCCGCGCAATTAAATAACAATGTTCGACAGTGCTCGGCTCGCTTTGCTGTCTTTGTTTGAGTAATTATACTAACGCCAAAAGTAACAAGGCTTCATATAAAGTGATGTAAATGTCGCTAAAACATTCTCCTGGACGCCTGTCGACCCTTAACGACAATCAGAGCTTTTACTTGTTGAGGCTTTCTTTCGCTATCACCCACCCTACACCTGACCCACACCCAAACTGCACCTGACCCACATCCGACCTACACCTGACCCACATCTGCCCTAAACCTGACCCACATCCGACCTACACCAGACCCACATCCGAACTACACCAGACCCACATCCGACCTACACCAGACCCACATCCGAACTACACCAGACCCACATCCGACCTACACCTGACCCACATCCGACCTACACCAGACCCACATTCGACCTACAACAGACCCACATCCGACCTACACCTGACCCACATCCGACCTACACCTGACCCACATCCGACCTACACCTGACCCAGATCCGACCTTCACCAGACCCACATCCGACCTACACCTGAACCACATCCGACCTACACCTGACCCACAACTGACCTTCAGTTGACCAACACCAACTCATATTAAACCCAACCCACACCTTACCTGCATCCGATCCACGCCTACCGCACACCCGACCGACACCCAACCGGCACGCACGCACCAATACATTAACCATATTACGTCCCACAGATTATACCTTGACGGGCAGACTGAGCCCAAGTGGGCGGAGCATCTTGTCTGCCCAGGAACCGACAGCAACTACGACACTAGCAGCCCGGTACGTCCCCTTGGACGTCGTCACCGTCACTGTTGATCCCGGGTGGATGGCCGTGACAGGCTCACAGTCACGTATTTCACCGCCTCGCTGTCTGAACACCGTCTGAATGCAAACAAAATGGAAGGTGTTCATAATCCTTGGATCTTTTCTGACCGGGAATCCCTACAGGAAGACAAGCCTGAGGAATCCCCACAAGAAGACAAGCATGGGGTACTGGGGATCTATTCTGTCCGGGGATATCTGCAGGGAGACAAGCATGAGGTACTGGGGATCTATTCCGTCCGGGGATATCTACATGGAGACAAGCATGAGGTACATGGGATCTATTCCGTCCGGGGATCACAACAGGGAGACAAGCCTGAGGTACTGGGGATCTATTCTGTCCGGGGATATCTACATGGAGACAAGCATGAGGTACTGGGGATCTATTCCGTCCGGGGATCACAACAGGGAGACAAGCCTGAGGTACTGGGGATCTATTCCGCCCGGGGATATCTACAGGGAGACAAGCATGAGGTACTGGGGATCTATTCCGTCCGGGGATCACAACAGGGAGACAAGCCTGAGGTACTGGGGATCTATTCCGCCCGGGGATCACAACAGGGAGACAAGCCTGAGGTACTGGGGATCTATTCTGTCCGGGGATATCTACATGGAGACAAGCATGAGGTACTGGGGATCTATTCCGTCCGGGGATCACAACAGGGAGACAAGCCTGAGGTACTGGGGATCTATTCCGCCCGGGGATATCTACAGGGAGACAAGCATGAGGTACTGGGGATCTATTCTGCCCGGCGATATCTGCAGGGAGTCAAGCATGAGGTACTGGGGATCTATTCTGTCCGGGAATATCTACATGGAGACAAGCATGAGGTACTGGGGATCTATTCTGTCCGGGGATATCTGCGGGGAGACAAGCATAAGGTACTGGGGATCTATTCTGTCCGGGGATCACAACAGGGAGACAAGCATGAGGTACTGAGGATCTATTCAGTCCGGGAATATCTACAGGGAGACAAGCATGAGGTACTTTGGGATCTATTCTGCCCGGGGATATCTGCAGGGAGACAAGCATGAGGTACTGGGGATCTATTCTGTCCGGAGATATCTGCGGGGAGACAAGCATAAGGTACTGGGGATCTATTCTGTCCGGGGATCACAACAGGGAGACAAGCATGAGGTACTGGGGATCTATTCTGTCCGGGGATATCTGCAGGGAGACAAGCATGAGGTTCGGGGGATCTATTCTGTCCGGGGATATTTGCAGGGAGACAAGCTTGAGGTACTTGGGTGAGGTTAACACGTATATGTTCTTTGTTCAGCAGATATTGTTCAAGATCGTTTAAGAATAAGGAAAGATGGAGAGGGTTTTTTCACCCTGTCGTACACCATCATGACTAATGAAATCAGTATCTGGTTAATAATGGTATCCTTAGATCTAATGTTTTGGTAATTATTCTTAACCAGGCTGTTGAACCAAAAGCGACTCACCCGCAATGCAGACTAAGTGACTCACCAGCAAAACAGACAAAGTGACTCACCAGCAACGCAGACAAAGCGACTCACCAGCAATAAAAACAAAGTGACTCACCAGCAATACAGACAAAGCGTCTCACTAGCAACGCAGACAAAGCGACTCACCCGCAATGCAGACAAAGCGACTCACCAGCAACGCAGACAAAGCGTCTCACTAGCAATGTCCTGACAAAGAGACTCACCTGCAAAGCCCTCAGAATGCAGTCAGCCTTCAGGAGTCCCCCCTTGTGGTCTAGCAGTCCGACATAGTTGTGTGGGTAGGACAACATGGGGTACCTTCTCCTCAGCTGTTCGTGGGTGAGGACATCGACGGCAGCACCCACATTGGTCAGAGCCTTCTCAACGTCACGTAAGAATTCATCGTTTTCAGGACCAATACTTAGAGTACCACAGTTTCTGAAGAATCGTCAGTGCCAAGGTATACTATGACCATTCTCATTTACTCATATTAGTTGACGTTGAATCACAAATATGTAATAATATTAAAATATAATCACAAGATCTAGAGTTCGCTGTACAGAGCAGACCATAGCATAATCATGTGTTAATAGATCAGTAATAATTTGTGATGATACTAGGTACATGTATACTGCTCTCTCTCTCTTTGTCTCTCCCTTTATCTCTCTCTTTGCTCTTTCTCTCTCACTCTCTGCCTCTCTCTCTCTCTCACTCACTCTCTCTGCCTCTCACTCTCACTGTCTCTCTAACTCACTCACTCACCCTATCTCACTCTATGCTGCTCACTCCTCACTGTCTGTCTGTGCGTCTCTCAGTCTGTCTGTCTGTCTGTCTCTCCGTGTGTGCCCCCTTCTTTCTCTCTCACCCCATCTCTCACTTTGTCTCTCTTTGTCTCTCCCTTTATCTCTCTCTTTGCTCTCTCTCTGACTCTCTCTGCCTCTCACTCTCTCTGCCTCTCACTCTCTCTCTTACTCACTCACTCACCCTCTCTCACCCAATGTTGCTCACTCCTTCTCATTGTCTGTCTGTCTGTCTGTCTATCTGTCTGTCTGTCTGTCTGTCTGTCTGTCTCCCCGTGCCTCTCTCACCCCATCTCTCACTTACATCAACAGTTCTGTCCCCGTCTCTCTCTCTCTCTCTCTCTCTCTCTCTCTCTCTCTCTGTGACCCCATCTCTCACTTACATCAACAGTTCTGTCCCCGTCTCTCTCTCTCTCACTCTGACCCCGTCTCTCACTTACATTAACTGTTCTGTCCCCGTCTCTCTCTCTCTCTCTCACTCTCACCCCATCTCTCACTTACATCAACAGTTCTGTCCCCGTCTCTCTCTCTCTCTCACTCTGACCCCATCTCTCACTTACATCAACAGTCCTGTCCCCGTCTCTCTCTCTCACTCTGACCCCATCTCTCACTTACATCAACTGTTCTATCCCCGTATCTCTCTCTCACTCTGACCCCATCTCTCACTTACATCAACTGTTCTGTCCCCGTCTCTCTCTCTCTCTCACTCTGACCCCATCTCTCACTTACATCAACAGTTCTGTCCCCGTCTCTCTCTCTCTCACTCTGACCCCATCTCTCACTTACATCAACAGCTCTGTCCCCGTCTCTCTCTCTCTCTCTCACTCTGACCCCATCTCTCACTGCCTCTCACTCTCTCTCTTACTCACTCACTCACCCTCTCTCACCCAATGTTGCTCACTCCTTCTCATTGTCTGTCTGTCTGTCTGTCTATCTGTCTGTCTGTCTGTCTGTCTGTCTGTCTCCCCGTGCCTCTCTCACCCCATCTCTCACTTACATCAACAGTTCTGTCCCCGTCTCTCTCTCTCTCTCTCTCTCTCTCTCTGTGACCCCATCTCTCACTTACATCAACAGTTCTGTCCCCGTCTCTCTCTCTCTCACTCTGACCCCGTCTCTCACTTACATTAACTGTTCTGTCCCCGTCTCTCTCTCTCTCTCTCACTCTCACCCCATCTCTCACTTACATCAACAGTTCTGTCCCCGTCTCTCTCTCTCTCTCTCACTCTGACCCCATCTCTCACTTACATCAACAGTTCTGTCCCCGTCTCTCTCTCTCACTCTGACCCCATCTCTCACTTACATCAACTGTTCTATCCCCGTATCTCTCTCTCACTCTGACCCCATCTCTCACTTACATCAACTGTTCTGTTCCCGTCTCTCTCTCTCTCTCACTCTGACCCCATCTCTCACTTACATCAACAGTTCTGTCCCCGTCTCTCTCTCTCTCACTCTGACCCCATCTCTCACTTACATCAACAGCTCTGTCCCCGTCTCTCTCTCTCTCTCTCACTCTGACCCCATCTCTCACTTACATCAACAGTTCTGTCCCCGTCTCTCTCTCTCTCTCTCTCTCTCTCTCACTCTCACCCCATCTCTCACCTACATCAACAGTTCTGTCCCCGTCTCTCTCTCTCTCTCTCACTCTCACCCCATCTCTCACTTACATCAACAGTTCTGTCCCCGTCTCTCTCTCCAGTTCGGCTAACATCTTGAAGGCGTCCACCATCTTGTCGGTGTAGTGCTGCACCCCGTAGGCGAGTCTGGTGATACGACTGAGGCCATGGGAGCTGCCCCGAGAGTGTAGGACAGGAAACTGCTCAACAGAGATACAACACGCTGCAGGCTCTCCATGGACGTGTATGCAGAGCACATGTTTAACGAATATCTATTCTAATAGCTAATAGGCGCGATGAGAGTTTAGAAAGTGAAGAAGGTGTACGGGTGTTATGCAGGTGTACCGGCCTGATGAAAGTGAACGAATGTGATGAGAGAGAACACACGTGATGAGAATATTTGCTCACGATGAGAGTAGAGGCGCGATGAGTGAACGGATGTGATGGTAGTGTACGGATGTGATGAGAGTGTAAGGATGTGATGACAGTGTACGATGTGATTAGAGTGTACGATGTGATGAGAGTGTATGGATGCGATGAGAGTGTACGGATGTGATGAATGTGTACGGATGCGATGAGAGTGTACGGATGTGGTGAGAGTGTACGGATGTGATGAGAGTGTACGGATGTGGTGAGAGTGTACGGATGTGGTGAGAGTGTACGGATGTGATGAGAGTGTACGGATGTGATGAGAGTGTACAGATGTGATGAGAGTGTACGGATGTGATGAGAGTGTACGGATGCGATGAGAGTGTACGGATGTGATGAGAGTGTACGGATGTGATGAGAGTGTACGGATGTTATGAGAGTGTACGGACGTGATGAGAGAATACGGATGTGATGAGAGTGTACGGATGTGATGAGAGTGTACGGATGTGATGAGAGTGTACAGATGTGATGAGAGTGTACGGATGCGATGAGAGTGTACGGATGCGATGAGAGTGTACGGATGTGGTGAGAGTGTACGGATGTGATGAGAGTGTACGGATGTTATGAGAGTGTACGGACGTGATGAGAGAATACGGATGTGATGAGAGTGTACGGATGTGATGAGAGTGTACGGATGTGATGAGAGTGTACGGATGTTATGAGAGTGTACGGACGTGATGAGAGAATACGGATGTGATGAGAGTGTACGGATGTTATGAGAGTGTACGGATGTGATGAGAGTGTACGGATGTGATGAGAGTGTACGGATGTGATGAGAGTGTACGGATGTGATGAGAGCATACGGATGTGATGAGAGTGTACAGATGTGATGAGAGTGTACGGATGTGATGATAGTGTACGGATGTGATGAGAGTGTACGGATGTGATGATAGTGTACGGATGTGATGAGAGTGTACGGATGCGATGAGAGTGTATGGATGTGATGGGTGAACGGATGTGATGGGAGTGTACGGAAGTGATGAGACTACGGATGTGATGAGAGTGTACAGATTTGACGAGAGTGTACGGATGTGATGAGAATGTACGGATGTGATGAGAGTTTACGAACTGATGTGATGAGAGTGTACGGATGTGACGAGAGTTTACGGATGTGATGAGAATGTACGGACGTGATGAGAGTGTACGGGTGTGATGAGAGTGTACGATGTGTTGAGAGTGTACGGATGTGACGAGAGTGTATGGATGTGATGAGAGTTTACATGCGTGAGGAGAGTGTACAGTTGGTATTAGGCCGTACAGGGGTCAAGGGTAGTACAGGGGTCAAGGGTAGTGCAGACGTGAGGAGAGAGTACAGTTGGTGTTACGCCGTACAGGGGTCAAGGGTAGTACAGGGGTCAAGGGTAGTGCAGGGGTCAAGGGTAGTACAGGGGTCAAGGGTAGTACAGGGGTCAAGGGTAGTGCAGGGGTCAAGGGTCGTACCAGGGTCAAGAGCCGTACAGGGGTCAAGGGTAGTACAGGGATCAAGGGTAGTATAGGGGTCAAGGGTCGTACCAGGGTCAAGAGCCGTACAGGGGTCAAGAGCCGTACAGGGGTCAAGGGTAGTACAGGGGTCAAGGGCTGTACAGACGTACCTGCTCGAGGATGAGAGTCTTCTTGCCCTTCTTAGCGAGACTGTAAGCTGTGGAAGACCCCATCACTCCCGAACCTATCACTATGACGTCATAAACTCCCTCAGCCATTTTGGATTTGGAGGGTGTACAGCCTTTTTTTCTTGTTTCTCTTGAAGACAGTTATTCGAGATTTTAGAAATCATGTATTTGAACATAAAGCATTTGAAACAGTATGCTAAATGACCCAGGTAATATAAAGTTAAAAACCCAGGTTAATCGATAAATGAATGATTGATACCAAAATATTTAAATGTGATAGCATACGTAATGATTAATAAATGTGTTCTAAAATATACTATCCTATGGCTAAATCGATTTTTACATCGGATCTGATTCCCCAAAAGTTATTGATCACTGATATTAATTTATATTGCAGATTAGTCTTTTAGATGATAATGCTAATCACAAATTCATTTCTTGATATCATAAACAATTATGATTTATTTAAGATATAAAAAAGACAGTGCCGCTATTACTGATATTTCACTCTTCAATAATCGATTACACATCAAAACAAGACGCCACTGTATTCAAATTCGGCGTGCTTTTAGACGGGATATTGCTGATGATTTCTTCAAATCCTTACTGTACACTGAACAAGAAAATATCATGAATATTGTTGGGGATAGTTTCTTGTAGTGAAAAATGTGTTTTTTTAATGTGTACGGTGTATAAATATATATCATGATCCCTAAAGTTTGGTTCAGTGAAAATTATGAAGTGAGAAGCAGTTGGAAGGAGCTGTCCTTTCATTGACAGCGACATCAAATGATGATTATACAAACTTCCTGATGTCTTGAAACATGATATCAGCATAACTAAAGCTCGCACGCGTTTTAAATCATTAGAAATATCGCGAATTCGAATTCCTGATATCAAATACAGTAAACAACGTTTATAACGAACACGCTTATAACGAATAGACGGTTATAACGAACTGTTTTTGTCCCGGCCATTTGCTATATATATGCTGAATATAACGAACTACGGTTTTTACGAACTAAAAAAAGTGGTCCTTTTGAGTTCGTTGTAACCATACTTTACTCAGTCTGTGATAATATTTTATTTCAAAAGGTATTAAATCTTAAATTAAATCCATAAATCTTATCCTTACTTAGATATTTTCAAGTTCGTGCAGAAATCAGTGCAGAGGTCAGTGTGTTTAGATGCGTGTACTGGGAAATTGAGCTGATGCAGCTAGCCAATTTTTGATTTTATAGCAGCTTTTACCAGGCTATGCATACATGGATCGGCTGTTGAATGCGGTTGAAAAAAATAATAAAACGTTGATGTAGAAGTATATGTGGGAACATATGGCGGAACTCAAGCTACACTGGAGTTTCTGTGTCACAATGGCTTTTGGTGTTGATGCACCGTACAAGAGACCTGCGTCCCACGATCGGCCCTACTAACCGCATACATACATAGATCGGCTGTGGAATGCTGTTGAAAAAAACCAAATAGAACGTTGCTGTAGAAATATATGTGGGAATATATGGCGGAACTCAAGCTGCAGTGGTTTTTCTGTGTTACAATGGCTTTTGGTGTCGATGCACCGTACAAGAGGTCTGCGTCCAACGATCGACCCTACTAACCGCATACCAGGTACAACACATCAATAAATACTTTGAAATACATCTTTAATCAAAGCCCCTCCCTACCTGCCACAGCAGTGAACACACAAGACAAGTGGTGGTCGCGGAGCGCCTATACACAAGAACCGGGCACGAGAGGGGCTTCACACTGTATCACCTGTTTACTGGCCTGGTAGGTCAAGGCTCTTTTCTTGATGTCATTGACATACTGATGACATTAAGAACGGACTTTGATATCTAGGTCAGCTGTTGAGGTGTCTGTAAGGTGGAGTCAAAAGGAGCGACTTCTCAATATTGTCGACAGGTCAATATTGTTGGGCCGTGGTCGCTCTTCACAGTGACGCGCTGCAGAGCGCTGTGCAGAGTTTCGTCCCGTAGTTGTCAGGGTTGGTCTGACATCCCAATCCAAGGTGTGTAAGCCACATACGAGTGCCCGTGGCTTCACGAGTGAGTGAGTGAGTTGGGTTTAACGCCGCTTTTAACAGTATTCCAGTTATATCACGGCGTGTCAGCTTAATGTGGGACGAAAAGCCCGAAGAGATGCAGGTCTCAGATGTTTACCACTTCGGTATAACCCACGAGCACGGGTATGGTGCTGACAAGCCTAGAAACATAATCGGGGCGAACCGGGATTCGAACCAACATTCATAAGTTTCTGGCGTGACCAAGGGACGCAACTCTGCATAGCGAATCGCGGCGCCTTATACGACTGGGCCACCCGTGCCCCCTCCTGCAAAGAAATTATGCAGCTTTTGAGCACGCATGGTCATGCATTCTATGTTAAATTTCCAATCTGATTTATTCTACATTTGTGTGCTGGCGATAAGGTGCCTCACTCTGGCAGTGTGAGTTCGACTCCCGGACGGGACTCAACCAAAAAAAGTACGAGAATCTGTACTATACTCAGAAAGCGTTATCCCAAATATAACATTTGTTACATTTGACCACTTTCTAAATGGTACTGTGTGTTCGTGATTTTTTTTATATCAAAATAATAACATGGCGATTGATATAATTTATCGACCTATTTTATTTGAATGCAAACACATGGTAACTTTCACCAGTAACATTAACTATCTGTGTACATGTGGTAGTAGTTAGCATGGACGGTGATGCGGATGACAGATGTGTGGCATCACAGTGCGTCACTGACACCAGGTGTTACAACAGTCTGTTTATGTGCACGTTTGGCACAGCTGCACCCCGTACGCGCGTGCCACAAACCTACACTGACGACCAAAAAGAAGCTTTCAACGTAATGGACAATGGGCCCACACATCTAAAATCGCTCAAGTTCAATGACACGTCACATTAATAGCATGTATGACCAATCCCTGTTACAAACACGCAAAAACATTCCGGCGCACAGGAAAAGTCAGACGTCTGATGACGTCACATGGGATACGTCGCTATTCATCTTGGAGGGTCTTCATTGGGCGTGGTTACCCTCTGTCTGCCTGTTCTTGGTCTACTCTGCCCGGCCTGTCTTTAACGTCAGTTTTGCAACATGGGAGCAACCAAAAGCTCCAGCAATGTGGTCAGGGGTGGCTCCCATCTGTACCATACACAGAAGTGTAAGTCGTGGCATTTCTGTGGTGTTTTTTATCAATGAGAGTGTCTGAAGTGCCGTCCGTATACTTTGTACGACCTTATTTCACTCGTAGTTTGGACTGCCCAAGCAGCTCGTGTTTTTAACTTTTTCGCATTTTCTAAAGCAAAAAACCCAAAACCGCGTGCCGTGGACGTACAACTCTTCAAAAAGGGAAACGCACAGGAAGTATGTAGTTCATTGAACCTGCCTACAAAAAAAAAATCAGGTTTATAAATTGGATATATGTTTTTTGAAATGTTGGTGGCCTGATATTCGACAAACGGTGTGTCAAAACGCAGACATTGTCGATTTGCAATGTCTTAAACGGCATTGTTTTCACACTTGTTAAAAAATGTCATGGAGGAAAACAGTAAAGCAAAATGCACGTGCAAGTTATGGCATTCGTAATTGGTGGTAGTGGCTATAAAAAGGCAAGCATAAACCAATAATTTGTCATTCAATTGTCAACATTTTCAAGATCGAAAATGCCGAGACTCAATGCCTATTGGAACATCGCCATAGGACTATCCAAAGAGGGGAATCGCAGTCTTCTGCTGCACGCCACTACAACGTCCACCACAGCACCATACCGATACACACAGTTCAATTCCACTGAAGACCGTCCGATAACCGTCCGATCAAGAGTTACCACCCCTGCACAGGATCGCTACATTCGACTGTTCCATCTACGCCATCGCAATGCCACAGCTACGGAGACTGCAGGACTCATCCCTGGTTTGAGGAGGATATCGTACCAGACTGTCAGGAACCATCTTCGCGAGGCTGGAATCCGACCCAGAAGACCAGTTATCTTCCCTGTTTTGCAACAGATCCATCGAAAGCGACGCTTGCGTTGGTGCCATACCTTACAGCCTTGGAATTTGAGAAACTGGACACGAGTGTGGTTTAGCGATGAATCACGAATTTTTCTTCACCGGCGAGATGGAAGATTGAAGCCCCACATTGTGCACGTGAAATCGACAATTTCGATGGCGGTAGTGTCATTGTGTGGTGGCCATATCCTACACCACGAGATCTGACTTGGTTGTGGTTCAACGACAGCATGTGACTATCGAGTTCCAAAATTTCATATTTGTATCTATGATATTAAATAAAATATATCGACTTTATTAGGTACAATCCATTTACTAAACATCCACCTGTGCGTTTCTTTTTTTGAAGGGTGCACATAACTTTATGCATCGAGCATTGTTGTGTTTAGACGAAGTGTTTTTGCAGTAATTATATATATGTTTTTAAATTTTTGCAATTTCATTTTTAAAGTGGTAACGTTTCTTTTGGCCGTCAGTTTAAAACCATGGGTTCGAATCCGGTTCGCCCTGATTTGGCTTTCAAGAAATCCTGCATCACTCCGGGCTTTCCTTCCAAATCCAGCTGACACGCCGGGATATGACTACTCACAGCGGGGTTAACCCCAACTCACTCACTCACTTTTATAAAAGAATTTAGAGAAAGGTTAAGAGTTCTGAAACAACGTGGTAAGTTTTCCTTTATATGTTACTGGATATGTATCCAAATCTATTATTTGTGCCAAATTCCTTTTGTGTCCGATGCAATTTTTATCTGTAATTATACACTCCAAAAAAGAAAAGAAACGCAAAGCCAGATTTGTGTGAGGTAGGAAAATACAGTTATACAAGGAACCTTAGAAGGTAATGAGCCAAAATGTTGTGGAGAGAACACTTGGTGGTTGTAGTCGTCTCAGTTATCGGTACATAGGAAAAGACCAAGGTGAAGGTCAGCTACCATCAATCACGTGTATGTCCCCCGTTTGGATCGATAGCGGCCTGACATCTCCTGCCCATGGAAGAGACGAGTATACGAATCACATCCTGGGGAATGGTAGTCCACTCGGTCTGCAACGCAAAAGCCAACGCTGCAACGTCTTGGATTGTGGTTGTCGTCGGTGTAGCCGTTTATCCAATTCATTTCTATTTCATGCTCTATTGGGTTCAAATCCGGGGATCTGGAGGGCCAGGGCAGAACATTACCGTTGTTGTTGTGTAGACAGGCTCTTGTGATCCGTGCTGTATGCGGCCGAGCTGCAGCTGGGAGGACGTGTGGTAGGAGAATTTCGTTGATGTATCGTTGAGCCGTAAGATTGCCCTGGATATGGACCAAACCGGTCCTGCCATGATGAGAGTTAGCCGCCCACACCATAACGCTACCCCCACCAAACCTGTCCACTTACTGTACGCAGTTTCCTTCGTAACGTTCTCCCCGACGTCTGTAGACCCGTGCTCTTCCATCCCCTCGACGGAGGAGAAATCTTGATTGTTCCCTGAACCAGCCATCTCCCCATCGCAGTTGAGGCCATACCCTGTGTTGACGACACCAATGCAGTCGTTGTTGACGATGTTGTCGACTCGGAGATTCTGCGCGGTCCGAGTATTTGGGATGCGGCTGAGGTGGCTGTGGTCGGATGTAGAGATCTTGGGCGGGGGTGGTTACTCATCCCATGCTGTTGAAAGCGATCCCATAGCCTTGTGGGCGCTAAATTGAAAACCCTGGCTTCAGCTGATCGGGATTCCCTACCTGCAAGCGGACTATGACGTTGTTTCTTTGCACTTCTGTTAATCTTGTCATGTTGTTTAACTGCCACTGACGCAGATGCCAGGCAAAAGCCTGCATTTTAATACCGTTCATATTGCTGCTGCACGTGCAGTGCGTGCAGCTCTATGGCCCTTTTGTTAATGCACTGGGTGCGTTTTTCCGACTCGTATGTGTTTCCCGACTAATGGTTTGCATTTCCTTGTGATCATTTTGATCCGGGTAATTTGTCACTGACACTATAACACATTAAACTTCTTCATTTTGCACCTCTGGGGCCGCTAATTTTGCTTTTATGTCCAAAAATATCCATATTGCGTTTCTTTTTTTTTAGAGTATCATCAATAGTATCACTATGATCATTATCATCAGGAATGATATTATCGCTATTATCATAATGGCCGGTTAGTGGTGCTGTTCTAACTCTTTTATTAGTGAATAGTGTCACAGTGGTACGAGTGCACCCAATGTTCCTTTAAAGTTAGTATAGCTTACAGATAGCGTATCAGATATACTATAAGTCTGTTGATATGTTTGGACAACAGGCTTTAGTTTTGCTTCAGAAATGGGAAGGGGCGGTCGGGTAGCCTAGTGGTCAAAGCGTTCGCTCGTCACGCCGAAGACCCGGGTTCGATTCCCGACATGGGTACAATATGTGAAGCCCATTTCTGGTGTCCCCCGCCGTGATATTGCTGGAATATTGCTAAAAGCGGCGTAAAACCATACTCACTCACTCACTCAGAAATGGGAAACAGCTGCATGCGTGAGCTCTACCGTCATGCGTACTGTGTTATCTCCCCTACATTGCAACGACGAAGACTTCACGTTGATAGGGTGTCCCCCATCAGTCAGACAGCTTTGATCGACAAGTTATCTGGCTGATTGCACAGCTAATCCACAAACCTTTACCTATATTAAAATGGTTTGGTTCAGCAGGTGGTGACAGGAAAACAGAAAGAGGTTGATTCCTCCACATTTATATCTACATTAAACAATATACAAATAATTACTCTTCACGAGGCCAATATGCGAAAACACGGACCCGGGGACCCGTCCCGTGAGGTGATCCAGGCAGACCACATCAGGGGTCGGGTCCGATGGACCTTGTTTTCGCATATTGACCTCGTCAAGAGTATTTCACGCGTTTTGTTATACCGAAATTCAC